TATTATTATTATTATGGTGTATTATTACACCATATGACTGTTTCTGTTTCTAAATAGTTTCATTAAAAAAAAACTACACAGTTTAATTTGTTTTACTTTACTGAATACAACTTTTCAATTATTTTTTAACATCTTCAGCTTATACAAGAACATAGTTGAAATCTTTACTTCTATAATTATATATTATTATATATAATTCTATGCTTAATGGCAAAAGTATTATTCTAACTAACAGCAGGGAGTTTAGATGTGTAAGAGGTACCTTTTATGTTTATGTTAAATTACGGTAATAATACCATAAAATTACATTGTGATTATTAATCAAATTGTGATTTTTTATGGTATTGTAACATTTTATTGTACATCACATTATAATTGTGGTAATAAAAACGCCACTGGCATGTTTTTTAACCCAATTTATACTTAAATTTGCATGTTTGAATTGTTTTTCAAATAAACTTTTGTTTAATGTTGAAATTTCATTGTAATTTTACAGAAATTTGTTACAGTGCAGCTTGGAGGAATGGAGTCCTCCAATCAGCATTTGCACGGTGCCAGTAGCTTGGCCTTCAGAAATCAGTGGAAAAGTACTGCCTTGTGCATAGGTTAGAATGATGAGATAGAACTTTAACCACAGTTGCTTCAAAGTGTCATGAAATCTCTAAAGCTTCATAAAAAACAGACAGTGAGCCCATAATTTAACACGTCTTTTCAATATTATCTTTACAAGCAATGCACAAGCTCAACCTGAATTTCTCATCTCTCTAGACGTGGAGAAGGCCTTCGACAGGGTGGAGTGGTCCAACCTCTTCTGTGCCCTGTCAAAGTTTGGATTTGGAATTGAGTTGGTTGCTTCGCTGAAACCACTGTATGCCTCCCCGGTTGCTTCCTTACAAACCAATAACATCAGATCATAGTACCTCCCTCTTACTCGGTCAACTCGACAGGGCTGTCCGTTGTCGCCCCTGTTGTTTGCGATTGCAATCGAACCTCTTGCCATTTCACTTATACGATGCAGAACTATTCTGGCATCACAAGAGCAAACTATGAGCATAAGGTATCGCTCTATGCTGATGACCTCCTCCTGTACATCTCAAACACCTTTCATATCTACTCCTGCACTAATGAAAAAGCTGGAACAATTCAGCTCAATTTCTGGCTACAAATTAAACATTGGCAAGAGTACTATTTTCCCAATAAACTGGACACAGGATGACATGCATGTTTATCACTTACCCTTTAAGATTACAGACTAATTTAAATACCTGGGAATTACAATTACCTCATCTTTGAATGGGTTACTTCTTCAATATTTGCGTTCTTACTTCCAGGAAGACTGATTTTATTAAATTGGAAGCAGGCCCTCTCTAGTGCTTTGGTAAGAGATGTAATGATGCACTTTATTCCTTACAAGGTGCACGTGAGGATACATTCACCAGGACATGGGCATCCTTTAGACCTGTTTTATTGTTTTTTCTCTGTAAAATGTAACAAAAAGATGTCATTTATATGAGATATTTTTCAGTTTAAATTCAATGTATTGTGTCTTGTCCTAAAATCACAGCAGCAGTCGTCTCAGGACTTTACACAGTTGTGGATTCGCTGGTTTAGTTGTTTCCCTCACCACAGCTGGGAATGTCGAGGATATTGCTGCTATTGAGAAGAGAGGATCCCTGTCTCCACTGGGGTCTGAGTGGGTCACTGATGCAGGAGAGTCCAGGACAGTGATGATACGGGACATTTGAGGACATTTATTCACATTTCTGAACACCTGGTCATCTTGCTCCTTATGGACAATTCAGATTCAGATTTGATTTATTCAGACATTTTAACATTGTCTATTTCCATGTAATGAACATGGAAATAGACAATGGTATACACATTATGTCTGAAATGGAATAGGCAGAAGTTCATTGCGCCTAGTTTCATAACAAAAAAAACAGAAAAGCGCCAATGTACAGCTATACAATTTAGTTGTTCCACACAGCAAAACAAGTAGCTGAGTTCCATCTAACCACAAAACGATACAGTTATGGAAGAAAAAGGACAATGGGGGTCCTTTTACTTTCCAGACAGAAGGACATGTTATATTGTTGACGGTAAAAGGCACAATACAAAGATGTTACAGACCTGAGGTGATTATTATTATCATCATGGAGAAATGGAAGACATCTCATCAGCTTTTACTACAGGGCTGCCACGCTCTGGCCGTGAGATAACCAACAACATATATGAAGATAATATGAAATATACTGCCTTTGTGGGTATTGTTAGAATTATGAGTTTAACTTTAACCACAGTTTCGTCATAACCGTGCCATAACAAATAGAAAACTAAGTTTGCAATCCTCAGCATTCTTTCATCATATTTTCTACATATTGTTTTCTTCAAATAATTTTAATTTGACTTAAACTGTGTACAGTCTGTTAGCTCTATGTGTTTTGTTATTACAGCATTTTCTGTGTTCAACCTGTTTGATTCTCTGATCTGAGGAATCCACTTTGAGCCCTGAGTCTGTCTTTGGCACTGACCATAGAGACGAGCTCCTCTGGTGTCATCTGTGTGGTCAGAGCTCATCTGCATCAGAACAAAAGAATCCATGTTGGGAGCACACCCTCAGACCCAGATCCTCAGGTCCCGAGGTCCCGAGCCATCAGAGTGTGCTGGTGTTATTGTGGTAGTGGGCATGTCCAAACTATGGCCATTAAGAGCTCGTTATATCATCATTTATCATTCAAACAGTGCTGTTCAGTCCGACTGCTCATGACTGTAACTGGCCCTCGAGCGTTTTGTAATTACATTATATAAGGTTCGTATTGCACGGAAAAAATAACACGTACTACTTGCAGGTGTTTGTTTATATTTAATACCATTTATTATGTATCTGGAACATTGCACCAAATGCTACCAGAGCCAGACTGTGATAAACTGGCTGCATGATGACAATTGTGTGACATGAAGATGTTTTTGATTGACCCAGCGATCCTCTGTTTGGCCCTCAGCGGCACGGAAAAAATCACGTACACTGCAGAGCTGGACACTGCACTCACAAAGAGCCACACCTCCCTAAGGACCCAGGTTTAAATACAGTTTCACTCTCTCGAGCAGGAGGGCATTAAGGACAGTGATTTAATTACTTTCTCAACAGAAAAAGGAGCAGTGTTGATCTTGTGCAATTCCAGTGTTTAAAAGTGCATCGTTTTGATCTTTGCGCTCCTGAAGACCTGAGGAGGCTTTTGGGTGGCTCTTCCTGAAGACCTTCTTTCACTCTGTGGTGGCATCAGCATCACAGAGAAGGACAGGAAGAAGATGGAAATGGTCACCTTTACCTGCTATATTATTACTATGATTACATATTCTATTCATTTGATAATTCTGTTCTGCTCTATTGTTTATTATAGTCATTTTCTCTGCTGCTAATGTCTAATCATCTGTAAATACCTCATGATGCTGGGAACTACACCCCATTGCACTTCAAGCGCAATGATATCTCCAGAGTTGGATTTCATGATCTATTATATTAAATAATACATCCTGTTTGTTTACAAGCTGAGTACTCTTATTTCCATATTTTACTCTGCTGTAACGTGTGCAATGATGGAAATGAAATTTCCCCATTGTGGGACGAATTTAATTCAATTCAAATAACTTTATTAATCTGTGAGGAACTCCATTTACAGACAGAGCACCAGTGGGGGTACATAAAAACACAGAAATACAAGATCTAAATATAAATACAATAAAAGAGCAGAAATGCAATATAAATTACAAAAAACAGGTGTCCAAATCATGGCGAATTGAGGTGGGGAGGAAGCTGGATGTGGCCCTTTTTGTTTTGAATGGGAGGGACTTGAACCTACGCCCTGATGGGAGCAGGCTGTAGTGAGTGCAGAGTGTGGGAGCTGTCTGAGATCTGGGAGCCTTTTAAAAAATTTTTCCTGTAAATGGCTGTGATTCTGCTGCTGATTTTACTGGTTTTTTTGAGTGAATTCTGATGTGTGAGACTGAGTGAACCAAACCAAGATGCGATGTTGAAAGTGAGAATTGATTCAATGAAGCATTTGTAGAAAACTGAGAGAATGGATTTGTGAACCTGAAGTTTACAGAGATTACGGAAAAAGATATATATATTTTCTTTTTTTAAATACAGACTTGATATTATTTTACAGTTTTCACATAACCCACACAATAGTTATAGGGATTAAAGGGTCTAAAAACGAGGAACCCCATAGTAATATTTTAAAAAGTTTTTTTTAAATGTATCTTTTCCCACTGGGTTTTGAGTGGTTCCTTGCCGATGCAGGAAGGACAGTGTTCATCCTGCTCCCTATGGACCAATGACCCCTATGAGTTTGTTATTATTGCATTTCCTGTGTTCAAGGTGTCCTCTGACACATCAGTTCTCTTTAGGGAAATGAATTAAAACATGATGAATACCAAACACAGAAACACTTGCTAATTGTCCTATTAAAATCAGCAAAATATATTTCCGTAGGTCTGTGATGGGGTCCAGAAATATGTCCTTATGTTATTGGGGCTGCATAAACTCTCACCCTATACGCATGCTTCTCGGAATTTTTCTCAGTTTATATGTTACTCACATCAGTGTTTTACATCTAAAAAATTTCTGTCTGTAGCTTTCGGACAAACAAATCCCTACGATGGGCCACCGGCTGCAGCTCCGCCCCTACAGACTTCTGCTGCAGTTTCGGGACTCTGCTTGCTGATTGGCCGAGACGAGTGGAGCGGGGCGGGCCTCTCTCTGTCCGCTGTCAGTCAAGAAGCTCCGCTCAGATCCGTGCAGGTAACAAAAAGCCCCAGCGTCAACCCGAGTACCGACAAAACCCGCGCGTCATGGCCCCGTGCGCTCCCGTGCTCCTTTAACAGCAACACCCGTGAGAGAAGAATAGCTCTGCGTTCGCGAAGAAGAAGCCGGAACTATCCTGGAGGCTCTTTGCTTTGTACGAAGTCAGACAGCTGCTGCTCCGAGGATCCAAACAATGAAAGCCTTCAAACGAGGTAAGACTGTGACTCTGCGCCGTGCGTAAAGTTGTGCCGTAAGCTCGCTCCGGACCGTCGTGGGTCCGGGGACGCGTGTTGGTGCACGGGCAGACTCTGTGGATCTTGTTGTGTTTTTTTACTTGAAACTTGGTTTGAATTTGGAGGGACGCGTTCGGTGGCGTGCTGTGTCTCCATAGAGCTGGTGTTTGAGCGGCTAGAGGGCGCGCCGCCGTGGTAACTGTAGCAACGCGTCCAGCTCCATGTTGTGAAGTAAAACGTGTTTGACAGAGTGAAAAAAAAATCAATATTTTCTTAATTTACTACAGACCTGTTCCCCGTCAAAAGGCATTGTCCTTTAAATGGCTGTCTGTAATTCTACTAAATGTCTACTTGTGGTTTATTTGTGTAGCACAGTTCACACACATGGCAAGTCTGTGCTTAACAAGCCTTTAATGGTGATTAGACTGTGTGGTTAATCTACGACACTTGTTAGAATGAATATACCAGTAAGAACCTGAAACATTATAGAGTTATACCAATATACTGTAATTCTCTTGAGTTTCTATTCTCAATGAAACTCGTAAAAAAATTGCCCCCTTTCTTATTCTTTCTAGTGCTTGAGTCAATCTGCACTGGATCAAACCTGGAGTTGCCCCGTATCCTCGTCGGTCTATTTTATTTTTATTTTTTTACTGAATTTGGATGTAGAAAATTAACATTGTTTTAGACCACCAGAATGCGGTCAAAATATTTTCATATTCAAGGTAATATTTGCATCCATCAATAATGTGATGTTTTTCTCTATATGTCTGTACATTATAGTGGCAGTTAGTGTCTTTGGTCAATGTTTACGTCCCGGTGTGACACCATCCCAAAATGGCGGCCGCAGTCCCTCAGCGTCTCTCTAGCTTCTTTCTGTGTCGCGTCCATTTGGCCGAATCGCGGCATGCTTTGATGTTTGCTTTACACTTCTACAGACGTATCCCATCGCGGTCCCATAATAGTGTTGTGTTATGGTTTGAGTACGGCCGATATTGACGCTGCTAATAGCTTTTATGTTTTGCTTTTGGACAAAACAACAGACACGACGTCGCACTGTTGTCATCTAGACATTGTAACCAAACCACGGCTCTCCAAACGACGTCTCTTTTTATTTTATAGATTAATCACACAACACTGTTTGCATAGACTTTACATGTCCCCAACATTAAACTACAAAGTTATCATTTGGTAGATATGTCCAGAGTAGCGCTTTTCGGGGCTCTTTCTGGTCTCTCTCCATCACATGTTACTTGCATGTCGTGTTCTAAACTTTGTCACCTTAACTCTATGGGTCGTAAACAGACGCAGGCTGGTTTGTTTACAAGTCTGTTTAGCACAAATATTGAACCCAGGCGTCAAAAAGCAACGTAAAGGGACACATAATCACACAATAGCCCAACAGATCAGCCAAAAGTGCATATGTTCATCTGTGTGGTGGGGTCCAGGGCTAAAGTGGAGTTTCCCTTCTGCCGCTGAAGCCAAAGCAGTGAGAGGTGTGAGGAGCAGTTGTTGTGTTAATGAGTTTCTGCCGCTGTCCCTCCAGAGTCATTCACAGCTTTTGCATAAGCTATTAAATGTAAATGTGGCGCCCCCCGTGGCGGGAATGTGCCTTTCACACTTGTGTCTGTCACAGATTGGAGCAAATTATACTACAGCTTATCACTTCTACTGTTTCTTACTGGGGCTGCTATTGCTCATTACTGCTGCTAAATCTGTTTCTATTTCTTGCTTATTACTACACAACAACTGCTTCTACAACCGCTGTTTCTATTGTGTAGTAATGCTCTTCTATTACAATTTTTTCTGCTGCTGCTACTGCTCTCATGCATAGTGACATATGTCAAGCCTTTTTTCTCTCTCTGGTCTTTGCCTCTCCCTGGTCTCTCTCACACTCTTGCCTCTATCTGATTGTTTTCACATTGTACATAAGTGTGACTGATCCTAACCTCTGGCCTGGTCCTCTTCCTCAGCTCTGGAGTGCGATGAGCCCAGCCTCTCCTCCCCCATGTCGGACAGCGATGACGGCTTCCCCCTGGACCTGTCCGGAACCGTGAAGCGCAAACGTAGAGGGAACCTGCCCAAAGAGTCTGTGCAGATCCTCCGGGACTGGCTCTACGAACACCGCTTCAACGCCTACCCGTCCGAGCAGGAGAAGCTGAGTCTGTCTACACGGACGCATCTGTCAGTGCTGCAGGTGAGGACCGGACCAGCACTAACATGTGTACCCCGTGACAACAACACAGCCAGGCCATAGACCATGTTTTCTATGTTCCAATTAGGCAATCGGGGTCCTCTTCTGACCCTGATCAGAAGTCTCCATCCCAAAGTTCTCACTAGCATGTGTTGGCCTTTAACATTGGTGACAGCTTGGGGTCTTTTCTGGTAGTTGTGGATGGGGTTCTTTATCCTCCCTGACCCAACCATGACCTGTTAGTTCCGCAGGGCCTTTATCCCCACCACTGTCAGACTGTGCAATAAGTCACTAATGCACTAGGACTTAAACCTGCTCTATTTAATTTCTTTAATTGATTCTATCCATGTCAAATGTGACATGTACATTTCTCCTGTGTGAGATCAATAGTCTATCTTATTTTAATTCTGTTCCGGGGCTGATCTGTGCAGAATGTTGTTTTTAAATATGTTTTGCTCTTCTGTCTTAGATTTGTAACTGGTTCATTAACGCTCGCCGGCGCCTCCTGCCTGACCTGCTGCGTAAAGATGGCAAAGACCCCACCAAGTTCACCATCTCCAGGAGGGTGGGCTCAAAGTCTCCCGAGCCCTCTGTCGCCACTCCCCAGCCGACCCCAGCCCAGAGGCCCTTCGTCCTGCCTCCCACCGTCCGCCTGCTCGCCCCCGTGAACGTCCTCAGAGCTCGGGAGGCGCTGCTGCGGCTGGATACGCAGAGTCTGCTGCAGGAGGCGGAGGAGCAGAGCGGGGCCCGGCCGGTCTTCCACACCCCCCCCACCCACACCCCCCGAGCTGCTGCCCACACACGACTTCAGCGACCTGCAGCTGCTGGTAGATGTGGCGCTGCAGCGGAGGGAGGAGGAGCAGCAGCAGAGGAGGTGGGAGGAGGAGCAGCAGAGGAGGGAGGAGCAGCAGCAGAGGAGGAGGAGGGAAGAGGAGCAGCAGCAGAGGGGGAGGGAGGAGGAGCAGTTCCATGCAGAGGAGAGCAGGAACATGGGGCCAACTCCACCTCCAGAAGACTCTCAGGTGAGTGAACAAGCATCTGGGTCCTAGTGCCCCACACCTGGGGTCATGTAAAGCAAACAAGAGTCTCTTAGCAAAATTCTTATTCTTATTATTTTAACAAGATGCAAGAAAATTCTCCGTTGGAATGAGAATATAAGGCAACAGTTCTTTAAATAAGACTAGATTGCTGGTCCCACTGCCAAATATTTTTTTTAAGACAGTCAGAATGTACTAAAATTAAGACAATTGAGGCAATGATTACCTCCATATTTTTTTAAAATTCGTTGCAGTGCTGTCGTAACCATTTGATCACCTGTCACTCAAAGATCACTCAGGCATGAAATACAAAAGTCCCCACTCTCACACTTTGTCTTTGCCCTCCTCAGATCTTGGACCCATCTCGAGCCCAGCTGCTGATGGAGGAGGCCATGTCTGCGCCTTCACCTGCCGCCTGCATCTCTCCCTCGCATAGACCTCCCACCTCCTCCCCCATATCGCCGTCACCTGCCCCCCCAACACCGGCCACCCTCCCCTCTGCCCGGCTCCCGTCCTCCGTGGTCATCGCCGCACCCACGTTTATCTTTCGGCGCCTTGGAGAAAGACAAGCTCCAGCCTCCTCCCTCATCCTCCCCCAGTGTCAGCCTGGTCTCCCCTAAGCCCTCCCCCTCTCCACTCTCGGCCCATCCCCCCTTTACCTCCCCCTGCACAAGTACCCCCCCCCACTCCCCACTCCGGACTCCAGGCAGAGCGCGCAGATCAAAGTGGTTTGGGCAGCAACGTCTGCACCAAGAAACCGTCAATTAACTTTTTATTCGAACATGAAACTTGTAAATATCACAGACGCAGGAGCACAGCGTTTATTTGGGGCTTTTATATTTTGGAGTTCTCTCAGAAGACTCCAGAGATCATGTTGAATGTAAGAACGACTGAATGTCCGTATTTTTGTTTTAATATTTCGATATTTTTCATATTTTCTTCAACGTTCTTCCCATTTTGGTTTGGAAACACCACATTCGGTTTGAACGTATTGGATATTTTACCAAGAAAACCACACTTCACTCTCACTGGGATTTTGAGGGAAATCGTGGGACATTTGACATTTCTGAAATGTTCCATTTTCTTATTGAGAGCAGAATGGATTTGTTTGACTCAATTACAAACTACTTTACCAAAAAAGACGTTGTTGCGGCTCTATTTTAATCATTAATTTGAGACCAAGAACCTTTTGTTAATGTGAATGCACAAACTGCCAGCCCTTTTTATAACCAGTGGTTTTGAATGTATTAACGTTTCCCAGTCTTTTGGTACAACTTTATTAAACTGGAAGTATTTTTAGAATTTGTTCCTATAAAATATTTTTTTTAGATGAATTTATTCCCAAGTGTCTGACATGAGCGGCAGTGTTGCAGCTGAAACAGATGTAAGCCAAAATGTGATAAAAATGTATTTATCATCAAATGTATAGTGTTCCATATTCTCTGTTTCAATATTGAGTCTCAACGCAATATTTGTCCTGTCGAGAATGGAGAAAAGAAGTGTTGCCAAAAACATATTTAAAAAAACAAAGCATCCCCCCGCCCCTTCTGTCTAAACGGATCTGTTTTCAAACACTACACAATCGTCCTTCTGAAAAGCGTTGCCTCCAAATGAGTTCTGTGACTGTCTCCGGTCACATGTTCCTGACCGCTGCCATGTCCTCAGCACTGTCATTTCTGTCATTACTCACTCAATATTTTTGCTTTATATTTTTGAATTGTACATTTTAGCGACGCTGGGACAAAGCTGATCTTCCTTTCGATTCTAATCACTTTTTTACACCAATGACCTCAAAGTTTTGTTGTCGGCTTCCTGTTTACACCAGTGTTGTATTTCAATTTTAAATACATATTATTTTATATTTTAAAAAAACAACATACATTTTTCAATACTTTGGCTTTTGCAGTAATCGAATGTTATGCTTCATATTCGTGTTTTGGTGAAGTTTTGTACTGTTCATCCACTTCACTGAGAGGCGTTTCTTTGTAGAAGTATTGAAGTTTAGAGGAGCTCATGGAAAGCAACGCGAGCTAGCCTCTGTTTACATTGTAGTTTCCATCATTTCTTTGTTTTATAGTTTCTGTGAAACTGTTTCTAACGTAGACCAAGTTCTGACAACACCAGTTTTTACTTTTAACCTCGTCTTAAACATTTCTGCAAAGTTCACATTATTTATGTCCAACGTTTTACTGCTGCAAACCCTCGAAGCTTCTGTGAGAATCTTCTGTTAAACTCTGCCCCTTTTCACTTTACAACTGACTTTTATATTTTGCTTTTGAAAATGTTTAAATACCTCATGTTTCATTTGTGTATCACGTACAAAGCCTCAGACATTTTTTTAAGTCTTGTTTTTTTAGGATTGTACATGTTTTTTACTACATTTTCTACAGTGTTCTATTTTTGTGCTGCTCATATCGACTGTTACTGTTGTGCCTTAAACTGGATGTTTTTGTGACAAACTACATAGAAACTGTGCAATATTAAACTCCATCTTTCCAACCATTTCAGAAAATAAAAAACTTTTCCATCAATCCCTTTTTGTCTTATTTTATTTGAACTTGGGTCTCTCTGGGTCTGGATCGGAGCATCAGGAGAAAACGCCACCAGACATGGGGAGAACGTGCAAACGCCACACACGGGGCAGCCCCTGGGTCTATGGTATTTGCTTTATTCAATTTATTCAATCAATATTTATTTTTATTCAATCTATTTTGTATTGTTTAAATCACAACCGGAGTCATCTCGGAGAACTTTACAAAATCGTGGATTTGCCAACAACAGATCAGAGAATCAAACTGTTCGAACACAGGAAATCCAATAATAACATTGTACATAAAAGCCATTTGTCCATAAGGAGTGGGAGGATAACTGTCCAGAAATGTAAATAACCCTCTTGGAAAAAAAAAAACTTCCATGGACGGACACTAGGACTGGCCATAGAACCAGGACTGAGGCTGTATGATTTGGTCCAATGACAATTTAATTCATTCAAACTTTTCATTTGGGAAAAGTAAAAATCTCAAACACCGAAACATCTGAACTTACGCCTTAAGTTTCGAGATAAAGACAATTCATTTAGAGGTTTTAACTAGAAAACAAAACATACACAGCTGGACTGAAGTATTTATTTATTGTCTATATTATAATAGACGTGGACGTGGTCTGTAAGTAAAAGACACTGATTGGGAGCGACACAGCTGTGTGGATTTTTCACTGTATTCATGTTTTGTACTTTAGCCAGCAGCACGCTAGTCCAGACGACAGGGATGTGCGGCCTTATATGAAACCTTCCTATGTTATAATAGATCCATGATTGTCCCGCTAAATGTGTCTTTCGCTTTCGACCCTTGCTTGAAGCAGCTGCCTCTGTCAGATGCTGTGGTCTGGTACAGAGGAAACCGAAGCATCTGGAGGAAACCTACTCATACACGGGGAGACCCTGTTCTAATCGGGATTTGATGTTGAGAGATCTGAACTTTGACTTGAACAGACCTGATACAGAGTCAACCCTCACCTTTGTGAATGTGTGTGTTTGCCTGAATGTGTTCCGTACTTTTTGTGTTTCTATAATTTTGTTCTTTTTTTTTTTATCTCAATCTCAAGGGTTCGTTCCTCGTTTTAAAGTTGCTCCATTACTGCTGCAAAGAAATCAAATTCAAAGTAGTTTGACAAAAAGATCTGATTTCATATGAAGTCTGAAACCGTTGCATAGGCTGCTGTGTCTGTTTTAAACCACTACATGGCGCTATAGCACTGTGTCATCAACACAAGTGCGACTTGAACGTGTCCTTGTTTACACTGTTAGGGGCAGCAGGGGGCGCAGGTGAGCTGCTGTCTCAGTCTGCAGGCCCCCTGTGTCTCTGGGACAGTAGTCCATGGTGAGAGAGGTCTTACTGTGGTTCTAATGTTGGATTGTTTGAACAAAGAAGTGCTCATTGAATCACATTCAGACAGATTTGTGAGTTTTACAGCTTTAAGTTGGACCCAAAACAAGAGCGCAGAGTACATTTTTGTTCAGGATATTTATTATTGGACCCCAGGCCCCTGACCCTGCTGCTCCTGTACACAGGAATGCCTCAGCCTCACTGACTGACGGTGATTATTTTCAAACCTGTCTTGATGATCAATAACACGATACTCTTTCTTTGACTTCATAAACACTGACAGTTGTGGAAGGTCTCCGACAGGGAGCTGCATTTCACCATGAATCTGGCAACCCAACAAGAGTGGGAGAATATAAACATGTGCCCAGGACTTTATCATTGTTTTACTTCGTAGCTGATTGATAAAATCCAGTCCAGAACATGTCACTTGCTGTTGTTCTGTGCTTCAGGATAATCTCACCTCGACTACATATAAAATATGTATCTTTTAAAAAACACATACAATTCTGCTCAAAACATTTATTCAAACTGTTTTCAGGACTTTTCTTTTGCAGAATCGGTACAAAAGTGATTGTCCCCAACAACAGTGCTCATCCTCCCAACTATTCCTCTTACACAAAGGCTGAAAAACACATTTATGATTAATGTGGATAAATATTAAAGGGATTTATATTTTTAAAAAACTTAATTCTCCTTCATTTTAAACATGTTGCGTTCAACAATATTTTATATTGTTTTATTCATTTATTATTTTATCTTTGCCACAATAAAACAGATTACATTGTTTGTCGGATCAGGCATTTCATGTTTTTTTCTCTTTTTACCATGTTTACATTGTTATTAATATTATTATTTATTTTAGGTTCATGTTAATCTCACTAACCATGAACTGTGTCTAAAGACCCCCCGTCTCTCTCTGGTTTATTGCTCCGTAACAGTCTCTCTGGTCTCTCTCTCTCTCTGGTCTCTCTTTTTGTGATTACAGTGGTCCCTGTTCTTTTGTGAGATGTTATAGAAATAATCAACATTATGTGAAACCCATGAAGTAGCAGGTATCAAGGCTGTAAAACCTCTCACGACACTTCAAATACTTTTCCAACCACCTGAACTCACGGCTGTTGAAGTGGAGATATCAAACCTATTCAAACCTTGTGGGTCTGAGCACTGCTGCAGCTGTCAAAAGCCGACAAACAGTGTCAAAAACACCTCCAGAGACCAGAGAGAGACCAGAGAGAGACCAGAGAGAGACCAGAGAAAGACCAGAGAGAGACCAGAGAGAGACCAGAGAGAGACCAGAGAGAGACCAGAGAGAGACCAGAGAGAGACCAGAGAGAGACCAGAGAGAGACCAGAGAGAGACCAGAGAGAGACCAGAGAGAGACCAGAGAGAGACCAGCGCTCACCCCATTATAGTCAGGGACCACTGTACTGTATTGCATTACCTAAAAACAACTGCAGGTCTGCTTTTGAGGAACACTGGTTAGAAGTTGAAATGGTGTGATTTTGCAGGACGTGGAATGCCCTCATGCGCTCTCATCTCATTCGTCGTCCTTGTCTTTGGCCCCGTGCTTCAGGATTCTGGTGAACTCGGCGTAGTTGAAGTTTCCTTTCTTGTCGATCGGAGCCTCGCGGAACAGCTCGTCCACCTCCTCGTCCGTGAAGCGGTCGCCCATGGTGGTGAGCAGCTCCCTCAGGTGTTCCTCGTGGATCACTCCTGCCAGACACGGGTTTAAACAACACGCACATTAGTCACACAGTGCAGTCAGTGCAGTCAGGAGATCACACATCATAGAGTTTTGTCCACGTAGTTGTTACAGGACATGTTTTTTCTGCATATTAACTAACCTAACGACAGCATGAGGCCCCAGATCAAACCCTGTGGCGCTCCACAGGTCAGGGCCTCATAATCTGAGACACAGTTTCCAATCTCAACCAAGTACTTCCTCGATGACTCTTAGACCAGCGACACCCACCTAGTCCTCTAGTCTCTGTACGAGGACCACCTAGTCCTCTAGTCTCTGTACGAGGACCACCTAGTCCTCTAGTCTCTGTACGAGGACCACCTAGTCCTCTAGTCTCTGTACGAGGACCACCTAGTCCTCTAGTCTCTGTACGAGGACCACCTAGTCCTCTAGTCTCTGTGTGAGGACCACCTAGTCCTCTAGTCTCTGTGTGAGGACCACCTAGTCCTCTAGTCTCTGTGTGAGGACCACCTAGTCCTCTCGTCTCTGTACGAGGACCACCTAGTCCTCTAGTCTCTGTGTGAGGACCACCTAGTCCTCTAGTCTCTGTACGAGGACCACCTAGTCCTCTCGTCTCTGTGTGAGGACCACCTAGTCCTCTAGTCTCTGTACGAGGACCACCTAGTCCTCTAGTCTTTGTGTGAGGACCACCTAGTCCTCTAGTCTTTGTGTGATGATATATTGCTCTAAAGTACGGTGGTGTTTGCCCAACGGGCCTGGACCCCCAGAATCTACAAGGTCCTCAGGACCCTCAGGACCCCCTGGAGTTCCTCACGGAGGAGGAACCTACCGGAGCCCTCCTCGTCGAAGCAGGCAAAGGCGTTGCGGATCACGTCCTCGGGGTCCGTGCCATTCAGCCGCTCCCCAAACATGGTCAGGAACATGGTGAAGTTTATGGGCCCCGGGGCCTCAGCCATCATGCCCTCCAGGTACTCGTCTGACGGGTTCTTCCCTAAGACGGACAAACACGGAGAACGTCAACATTCTGGACTCAAGTATTGAAGTTTTCACAGAATATCAACAAAGGCAGCGGCAGCAGTGAGAGTGGGAGTTCAGTTGTAGAAGTCTTTCCTTCACTGTGGTTTGTTCCAAGGTTTCTCTCCCCACAGGATGGAGTCGTTCCTGCTGGTAATAGCTACTGAATGATGAAGACAGATGCAGTGGTCTGATTCGTTCACATTTACCGTAAATTCCGAACTGTAAGCCGCCGCTTCCTGCATTTTGAAGGCTGCGGCATATAGTCAGGTACGGTTTGATTTTCTTTTTTCTTTGTGGTACCAAAAACAAATTGCCAAGTAACAGTAGACCAACATAATTGATGAGCAGTTCACAGAGATCCAATTCATTAGATTAAATAAATGTATCTATGTGTATTTCATATAATAAATAGATTTTTGGTTCTCTGTACAGACATGAACAGAGACCAGTAGAAGTTGCTCCTTATCTTTCTGCTTCACACAAGCAGAAAGCTACGTTTTGAGCTACATTTTTGAGCTACGTTTTACAATATTACAATGTGGGACAGGTGCGGCTTGTACAAGTACAACATTTAATTTAATTCTAAAAATTAGAGCCTGCGGCTTAAAGGTGCAGCTTATTGTAGGAAATTGCGGTACTTTAACAAGGCCCTTTCTTTTTTTTTTTTTTTTTTTTTAATTTTTAAAAAAAAATTTATTCTACTTAAACAATACAAAATTCAAAAACAGACAGGTAAGTGACAAGCATACACGGTACAAGACATACAAGAATACATACAATACAGACAGGGACAGTGAACAAAGTTTTGTGTAGATGTGTGTGCATGTGCGTGGTGTGTGAATGTGTGTGTGTGTGCGCATGTGCATTGCTTACAAATATAAAAAGAGAAAAAATTATAGAATAAATAGTAATAATATGTATAATACTAATACCACTACCACCATCAATATTAACAATAATATTAATAATTATAATGAAAACCATAACACTAGCAACAGGAGGGTGGCCGCCACTGCCTTCCCCACCGACGATGTCTGATTCCTGATGGGTGTAGTGCATGGATCTTCTGCTCCCTGATCCCCCATCCCCTCCATATAGGTTCTTGTTCCTGCTTTGTGTTATCCTTATGTACAGGTGTCTAATGTGCATTAAAAGAGGACATATTTTGAGGGTGCCAACCTAGGATGGCGGCGCCTCCTAAGGGCACTTCTCAACTGTCCTGATTCCTACAAGTCTATTCAAGTGTTTGTTTATTTTTTTTATTTTTTTATTGTTATTTTATTTTTATTTTTTTATTTTTTTTATTATGTGGGGGGGTGAGGTGCATTAAAAACAACATGGGTGGGGGTGAACCAGGGAGAGTATGTATGGATTCAATAGTAGTGGCAGTAGTGGTAGCAGTAGCAGTCAGTAGCAGTAGCTGTCACAGTATGAAGTAGTGGCAGCATTATCAGATAACAGTAATAATCATATATAGAAGTTACGGCAGTGGAATATTATACGAGCTATTTAGTGTTTTAGTGGAAGGAGGTAGAGTGAAGAAAGATGTTATAAGTAAATGAGTGAATGAGTGAGCGAGTGAAATAATTTTGTTGCTGTTAGTTGGTGATTTAAAGAAGGGAAAGGTCCGGCAGTGTTGGGAGTGAGGGGTTGGACTCTGAAGGATAATTGCCGGGGGGTGATGATGAACATTCCAATGAGATGAAGTCTGTGAAAAGGTTTTTCCAGTGGTTTATATTTATGTTAATGCGGGATTTCCAGTTTACAAAGATGGTTTTCTTGGCGATGGTTAGAGCTATCAAAAGTGTTTTAAAATGTATGGCTTTATCAGTGATCATTGATAGATCCCCTAGCAGGCAGAGGGGGGGGGGATAATGGGATGCGGCAGCCCAGCAGGGATGACAGTGACCGTGTGACCTCTTCCCAAAAGTGTTTGATGGGGGTGCAGTTCCAGGTAGCATGAATGTATGTATCGGGACAGTTCTGAGTGCAGTGTGGACATATGTCTGATGTGAAACCCATTTTAGCAAAGGCCCTTTCTTAGTTTATCCCATGTTCCAAACTAAAATAATTGATAGAGCATATGATGTCTCCTTTAAAGCTGCTCATTGTGGCGTTTAGATCTTGACAACATGATTCCAAACTATTTTTCTGGGATTGTTTAAATTCACTGATCTCCTGTCCGCACCCTCCACTTCCTGATGCTTCAGATACGCGTTTCCTTCTGAATTAAAGCCGGGATGCCGGCTACATGTCTCATAAATAACACATGTAGTTTGTCCAACAGAAAGAGCCACAACATACCGTCTTCATCTGAGAGCCCTGTGAGTCACTATTTGACTTTTTGGGCTGAGAGCTGATTGGCTGAGTGAGGCTAGTCCTGTCTTTTTCAGTTTTCTGTCTGAAAAAGCTGATCTAAAGATGTGACTGTTTGCAAACATGAAACTATTGATAGAAGCAAACTGTTTTAGAGCCAGGAACTAGAGACATTGTTGTCAATTGTTTTTGCGCAAAAGAAGGACCAGAGAGAAAAACAAGACAAGAGAGTAAAGACCAGAGAGACCATAGAGAGACCAGAGAGAGACCAGAGAGAGACCCTAGAAACACCAGAGAGAGACCATAGAGAGACTAGAGACCAAATAGAGACCATAAGGAGACAAGAGACCAGATAGAGAGACCAGAGAGCTAGTGACATGGATTCATGACACTTTTCTATACGTTTGTGGTTAGTCAGGTCACCCGGCTTTAACACTGACCCAGAGAGGCCAACATGTCGTGCAGGTCCTCCTTGTCGATGAAGCCGTCTCTGTTCTGGTCGATCATGTTGAAGGCCTCTTTGAACTCCTGGATCTGGGACTGGTCGAACATGGCGAACACATTGGAGGTGGCCCGCTGCGGACGCTTCTTTGTGGTCTTCCCCTTGGCGCGTTTGCTCGACATGGCGGCGGTTTGGGAGGCAGCTGCAACCACACAGAGAACACTCAACCACTTGGGCAAATAACAATGAGGTGAGAAACTCCTCTTCTGACCCTGATCATAAATCTCCATCCCCCAGGTCTAAATACAACTATGACAGCTTGGAGTCTTTTGTGGTAGTAAGATGTCTCTCTCAAGACTCTCTGGTCCCTCTCTTGGTTATCTCTGGCCTCACAGTCTCTCTCTGGTCACTCATTGGTCTCTCTCGCTCTCTCTCTGTGTCTCTCACCGACTCTCTGTCTCTCTCTCTGGTCTCACAGTCTCTTTCTCTCTGGTCTCACAGACTCTTTCTCTCTGGTCTCACAGACTCTTTCTCTCTGGTCTCACAGACTCTTTCTCTCTGGTCTCACAGACTCTTTCTCTCTGGTCTCACAGACTCTCTCTCGCTCTCTGGCCTCTCTGGTTGCTCTCTGGTCTCACAGACTCTTTCTCTCTCTCTGGCCTCTCTCTGGTGTCACAGTCCCTCTAAATACGATGAGTAAACTGTGTGCAGCTGTTTCCTTCTCAGTCAGATTAAAGGAGTGCAGCATCTCCAAACATGGCGTCCTGCTTTTCTTTCGGGACAGAATTATAAACGATGCAAAAGCCTGGTCTTTATCTGGGCTCATAAAGACTCCCTCCACAGCCTTACATGGGCCGAGCGACTGGGGGACACCAGCGTTTACATCAGCTCTTGTGTGAAAAACAACAGTCCTGTCCAAACTCACGGCCGCGGGCCAACTGCGGCCCTCTGTGTCATTTTATACGACGCTCCCACGCTAGCAGAAAGCAGTTCACAGCCAACGTAAGCTCAGCCAATATAGACATTGTGTTTTTCAAGGTAAAGCCCAGAACCTCAAGAATCCGAGGTAATATCAGGAACTTCTGGAACAAACGTGTAGCTCCGCCCCTTCTGTCTAAAAGCTCCTGTCTCAGTCCTGTAACAGTTTGATGTCATTGCACCACTGTGACATCAGAGTAAAATCAGTTTTCAGCCTTTAAAACAAAAGTATTTTCCATGAATTTGTTTTGGAATTGGAATTAAAGTATCCCTTTCACTAAAAGGTTTGGACACCCCCGTCATATCAGTATATGGTCTTTCAGAATGTGGGTTTGTGCTGAGGCCAACTCCAGGTGAGAGTTTTCAGTCTCATATCTCATCTGCAGGTGTGTTTCTGGCAGCAGAGACCAGATAAAGACCAGAGAGAGACCAGAGAGAGACCAGAGAGAGACCAGAAAGAGAGACCTGAGAGAGAGCAGGCAGACCAAAGAGAGACCAGAAAGAGACTGTTGTACAGATTTAACTATAAAATCACAATTAATGTTACTCCATAAACACGTTGTAAAGGCGTCTCCACATCTGTGCACAATGTAAACAATATGAAAGTATCTGAGAGTAACAGTACTCTTACAACAGTCTGACAGTAACAGTACTCTTACAACAGTCTGACAGTAACAGTACTCTTACAACAGTCTGACAGTAACAGTACTCTTACAACAGTCTGACAGTAACAGTACTCTTACAACAGTCTGACAGTAACAGTACTCTTACAACAGTCTGACAGTAACAGTACTCTTACAACAGTCTGACAGTAACAGTACTCTTACAACAGTCTGACAGTAACAGTACTCTTATAACAGTCTGACAGTAACAGTACAGTTTGACTACGCTAACATTCCTCCCGCATTTCTTACTCACTGATCTAAAACTAAAGCTACAGTACTTTTTTCAATGTTTCCAAAAGACGCAGACACTCACCTGGTTCTCACGCTCACCTGGTTCTGACGCGGTGTCTGCGGAGACGCGAAAACAATGTGGACACAGGTTTTGTTTGGGGGATAGCGCCATAGCCCCGCCCCTTTGTTCCCCTCTCAGCAAATCACAGCGCTCCTGTGTCCGGAGCAAACACTGACCGCGTGTCTCCATACAAGGCGAAAGAATGCGCCCTGTCCCGGGGAGGAGGGGGGCGGGGGGATGAGGGAAGAGAAGGAGAGGAGGAGGAAAAGGATGAGGAAAAGGATGAGGGGAAGACGCTAGGTTATTATACAAACCCGCAGCTACCGAGAGATCAGACTGTGAAGAAAGGCTTAGTAATAAATGTATAGGCTACAGTGCATCTCTGCCCTGTCCACCACCGGTTGGGAGCACAGTGGACTGCAACAGGACTCGTACTGTCTAACTTTGTTTTCAGAGCTTCGCTCCTTTTTCTTACCGCTTCCAATGTTCAGATTGTAATGAGAGAGTGAAGATAGTGATGGTCTGAGGCTGCGATGGGACATGTTAGTACTCGAAAGTATTGTAAATTACTTAGAATTACTTACTTACAATATCATTAGAGTCTGAGAGCAGAAAACATGAACTATCCATTATTCCTCGTGCTCTATAAATGTTTTATTCTTATGGTGCTCTTGTTAGTATTAGATAGCAATATGGCCTACGTGCAGGACTGTACAAGGACTCTGATTATTTTGACTATGATGTGCACTGTCTCTGTGTGGCACGTACGTCTTTCCATGTGTGACGTGACAATGACTATATAAACTGTGTACTGCCTTTATTCTGTCTGAGAGAAGGAAACAATGGAAACCACTGGAACTTGAGAGAAACTTAAATAAACATCCAGTTTGGCGCACCACGATCCGTCTCTGTCTGGGTTAACCCTGACACTCTCTTGACTAGATAAAGGAGAGACCAGAGTGAGAAATTCGTGAAGTGGGCACCCCACTTTTTAAAAACATGTATAAAATGGTGTCATTTCTTAGTGCTGATTTTTTTCTGATTTGTGCTGCAGAAATTAGAATTTGTGCCGGTATCATATTTGAAATATTATAAGTGTTTATAGGCCTTTCTCCCCACTATTAGTTGCTCCAAATCTACCCAGAAGGGTCTCATTTAGCCTGGCCTACTATCATTTTTGAGCACAGCATCTTGGAAAGTAACCCTGGGGATACACTGAACAGTGATCGCGACATGATCGTGAAAAAAGCCAAGGTGTTTGAAACTCTGTTCACACAGCTTCCGAAGCTATTAGTAAATCCATTTCCAGAACCATGCACCCCAAAAAAGTCTACTAGAGATCACTATACATTTTGACAGCAGGATCATCAACACTATAAACATATATAATGTATATACATTATATATATACAAATCAGCAAAGATTCAGCACAAAAAAAGAAAAAGGCCAGCGAGAAAGAGCGGAGGCCGGACCAAGAGACCAGAGAAAGAAACCGGAGACACAAGAGACCAGATAAAATAAGAAAACCTTTATTCATCCCCACATACAGGACAGTAGTAAGAGCACACAGGGAGTGTACAAGACATACAATATAAGTATATATCTGTCTATCATATATAGAGAGAGCGAGAGAGCAGGAGGAAGCAAAACCTCTCACTGAAGCTTCTCTGTCTGTCACTGAATCTACTCTCCAGAGCAAACAGAGTGTTAGTTGGTCCAGGACCCTCCTGTCCTCCACCTGCTACACTGTGTCCAGGTGAGAGAGCAGAGCGAGAGACCAAAGAGATGGAGGCCAGTCCCTGTGCTCCTCATAGTCTGGGTTTGAGCAGCGCAAACCTTCTATACCCTGCTATTACCAACTGCAGTTTACTAATTAGCTTTAAATGTAGGTGCATCATGCCGGGGTAACATATCGGCTAAAGGCAGAGTGTTAAATAATTGTATGGGTTTGAATGTGTCGTTTAAGACTCGGTCCAAAACTAAAAGCCTTCCCACAAGTCTCACAGACAAACGGTTTCTCTCTTTCAGAGTGAATTACTTTGTGATGATTAAGATGTCCTTTGGTGTAAGAACGGTGTCCGCACACGTCACACTCGTAAGGCTTTTCTCCAGTGTGGCTCCGAAGGTGAACTATGCGCTTGTATGGTGTTGAAAAGGATTTGTTGCAGTGGTCACACTTGTACGGCTTCTCTCCGGTGTGGTTCTGATGGTGAATTGTGCGCTCGTATGCAGTTATGAATGTTTTACTGCAGAGGTCACACTTGTAAGGTTTTTCTCCAGTGTGGATTCTCTGGTGTCGCCTGTAGTGTGCAAGCATAATGAACTTCTTCCCACACTCTCCACAGACAAACGGCTTTTCTCCTGTGTGGACTCTGTAGTGTGCGGTGAGGGTATGTAAATGTGTAAACATCTTCCCACACTGGTCACATTTGTGTAGATTCCCTGTGTGGACACGCTGGTGTTGTGTGAGTTGCCCTTTGGTCCTGAATGTATTACCACACTCGGTACATTCAAATGGTTTCTCCCCAGAGTGGACTCTCTGATGATGTCTCAGAGTACCACGTTCTCTAAAGCTCTGGCCACAAACGTCACAGCTGAAGGGCTTTTCTCCAGAGTGGATTCTGCTGTGAATTTTGAGACTATCTGCTTTAGTAAAACTCTTTCCACACTGGTCACACTCATATGGTTTTTCCCCAGAGTGAGTTCTAGAATGAACTTTGAGTTGTTCAGCTCTAAAGTAACTCTTTCCACACAGATCACACTTGTATGGTCTTTCTCCCGTGTGAGTTCTGCAGTGGATTTTCAGTTGTCCTTTTCTTGTAAAACTATTTCCACACACATCACACTCATACGGTCTTTCCCCAGAGTGAGTTTTGATATGTAGATCCAGAACTCCTTTTGTTTTAAAACCTTTTCCGCACTGTTCACACTTGTGTGGTCTTTCTTCAGAGTGCGTTCTGGAGTGTCTCTTGAGGATGTACGCAGAGACCCAGGTCTTTCCACACTGATCACAGGTGAACCCCATTCTATAGATGAACTTAGAATGGGGTGTAGATCTGCCACAAAAAAAAAAAAGGAGATGTCAGATAATACTGGCTCCAGAAATAGGTTCACTTAGATCAAATGTATTCTTGTATAGCCTTAAATCACAACAGTAGTTATTTCAGGGGACTTTAAAAAACCGTTGAATTTACCGACACAGATCAGAGAATCAAACAGTTCAAACAAAATAATAGAATAAAAATGTCCTTAAAATCCTTAATAGTCCGGTCCAGACAAGTTGCATTTCATGGTCATGGCTCATCACTGTGCCTCGCCTGGTTCAGTCCCATGTGCGCGACACCACTTTAAAAAGTATCTTTAAAAAGCTGTCTCCTCTGAGCCCAACCTGAGGCAGGACTGTGCCCCTCTTGGTCTCTGGATCACCGCACATATCACAAGCTCTTTTTATTTTATTTTCCTAAACTAAACCTACATATTTTTATTACTTTTTATTAATTTAGTTTATAAAAAATAAGTTTCAGCATATTCCAATAAGACAAAACATTTCTCATTGGACACAACTGAAAAATATGTTACGTCCAAATGAGAAACCCAACTTAACAAATAAGAGTAAATATGTTTAATATGAGGATAGCAAAAAATAAAAACCCTTAATAAAAATCCACGCCCATGGATTATTTTGCTTAACTTAACCAGTCCTTAAGTTTTACACCATAATTAGAGTATTTTTATGGTTTTACACCATAATTAGGGTATTTTTATTGTAATCATCTGTGACGGGTAGTACTACCCCGACTCTCGCCAGACCCTTGTAGTTCCGCCATGCTCCACTAGAGGCAATAGGCGGAACACAAGGGTCTGGGATCGAGCGCATTGCAAACTCCTTCAGGAGAAAAAATAAAAAATCAGCCAATCAGAATCGCTGGTGTAACGCCGGGTTTGCATCACCTTCTCGTGCGTGTCTCACGCATAGACTGTGGCCCAATCCCAATACCCACACTGCACCCGGCCCTACACTCTTCTACGAAGTGTGCACATGTTTGAAGTGCACACAAGGGTTTGAGTGCGCAGGTTACAGGTGTGCAAAAAAGGCGAAATTGGGACAGTGCACACTGAGTACAGGTTACGTCATCGACTCGTCAAGAGATGGTCATTTTCTGACCTAAGCTTTATAAAACTTAAAGGTAATTTTGTCTGACCCTGTGGGAAACAAAATGAGTTGCTCCACACACGTTAAAATAAATGTATATTGGTTATTTGTAATTTGAGATAGCTGTATTTTAAGTTAAATGTGTGTGACTAACTTATCTGGTATGTTTTTATACATCCTAAGTTCATTGTACGAAGTGTAAATTTTAAATTGAATGTTATATGAATGCTTGCTTTAAAAAGTTATTAAATTGTTAAAATACAATGTCCGTAATTCTACAGTCTATGGTAATTCTTCATCACAAATATATGCTTCTTTCCAAGTAACATAGCAATACATATTTAAAAACATACAGCATATATATTTCAAAACATACACTTAAATGCATTTTCCCGACGTTTTGGTGTGTACCGCAAAGAATTATGGGCATTATCCTTCGCCAAAGTCCGCATAGATGCAGGCTAGTGTCACTTGTCACTCCCGTATTCGTCCCGGAAACCGGATTCGTCCGGAAGTTCAGTTTGCGCATGTCAAAAAGTTTAATATGTCCTTAAGTGGTGACTGGTTAAGTTTAGGCGTCTGATTAAGATGGTTAAGTTTAGGGTTAAGGCTGGGTTGGGGTTATTTTATAGGAATGGCTGGTTAAGTTTAGGCATGAATAGGTAGTTTTTTTTATTTACTTCCGCTTCCGTCCAGATTCCGTGACGTAATCTACTGCTGCGTATGCTCATTGGATCAAACTGAACTTCCGGACGAATCCGGTTTCCGGGACGAATACGGGAGTGACACTACAGCGAAAGTGTGGATCAGGGGCGCAAAGAGGGCGGGGCCAAAGATCTCCCTGGAGAGTTGGGACACCCTACGCACTCGCACCCATCATCGGGAACGCGCAAATGAGGGGCACGAGGGTGGAAGTGCGAGTATTGGTACTGGGCCATATTAATGGACATAGTCACACCTATCTCCCCCGTTCTAACCAATGTGCTAGGGGTGGGCGTTATGGCCTAAAATTCATATTGCGGTATTGACCAGATGCATCAACGTCATTCAGTCACGTGATTGTGAATGAGCTTACGGCGGAAGTATTGGAAACTAGCATTGCTGCGAGAGCAAAACGGACACAACTCTTAAAAACGGAGCTTCCTCTCCTAAATCGAGAAGTGGCTGCTTCAAGCACATGTTCGATTACGTTATAGGTGGAAGTAGGACATCAGGTCAGGGCTCACAAAGAGTGGTATTTGGAGAAGTTAAGGATTGCCTATCTGGATGTTGACCCGTACCTTCTCCTCACAGTCAATTTTATTTACATAAAATGTCTATTTTTGCCCAAATTCACCCTACATGATCTTTATCATTATCGTTAACAATGCATCCGCTCACACTGGAGCAGATTTATATGTACATTTTGCTGGTAGCATTAGCAATAGTCCACTTTTCTGTGGCTTTTCTGTCTACAGCCAAACATGATACGTACTGACTGAGAGGAAAATAGTGAAACACGCAATTGACTTAAAAGATAAAAATGTCAATGTTGCAGCGCACATACAGGACAGTAGTAAGAGACACGTTTGACGTGTGTCATTGTCCTCCAAATTAATGGAAATAAAATAAATACAAACTTGTGATTGCTTTATCTTGTAAAAAGTGTTCACTGCATATTAGGGAGTACTTGGATGGGTCCCAGTCCTTTTGGTTGATTGCCGCCATCGTCGTCTTCTGTCTTCATGACGAGCAGGTATCAGATAAAAAAGCTTATGTCCTTGCCTGTTAGTATAATCAACCGCACTGCAAAATGTCACAGTTTTGGCTGTAATGCGCTGAAACAGGTTGTTTTGGTCAGGTGTCTGTAGGCTCCAGTTAGACTTCTGCCGTCTGTCATGGAGAGTGGGCGTGGCCGGGACGTCACATGCAAGGGGTCAATAATTTGGGTCACAGACAGTAGACGTATATATTTGTATAATTTGGTGTGTGAATTTCAATAGGTCTTGCAGGTTCTTGCACAACATAGTCAAGATTGTTACTTATTTATATATTAGAATCTAATATATATATATATTTTTAGTTTGAAAATCAGGTGTGTTTGATTTCATCCAGTATTTAATACATTTTTAGCATATAATAATATTCCATATTAAAGAGACACCATGCTTTTGAAATGCAGATTGAACTGAAGACCCTGTGGTTAGTGGGTTGCCAACTTGACAACAGATAAGAACAAATAAGGGACACCATTTGGGTGGATCCTGTTGAGCACTTTTTAGTCCTAATTTCAATCTACACAGGAATCATGGAATTTCATAATCAGTTTTTAGAACTTCACTACATATATATAAAAAAAAACAAATCCTTAGTCAAAAATGAAATTAAATAAACAGGTGGATCTCTTAGGCTGGTTAAGGACTTAATGCATGCTTATTAGTAATAAAAAAATATATAAAAGGAGTCAGTGAGGAGTCGAGTGCTGAATCGTGTGCTTCGATGTGAGTGATTGAAGGAAAACGTCATTCAAGGTAACAGACGTTATCCAATCACATACAAGGATTTTTTTTACAAGGCCTTCTGAAATTCATCCGCTATGAAAGATACTCAGACCCTTGTGGTAAGCTCATTAAACTACATGGGTCTGAGAGTCAGGCTACAAAGGTACAACACACTGCTCTAATGTTATAGGCTGACATTAGTCGCTAATGAGTTGTTAGCTTGATTTGTGAAATTAGAATCACAAGAGTATTCCTCATGATCACAGAGTAAATATAAATACAATCAGAGATGTTTCTGCTTATATGCCATAAATTCACAAATTTTATTTTATAACTGATCTTTGTCTTGGATATGCTTATGTTGCAGTAAAACCATCAGAGTGAGATACAATATTATAAGATATCATCGTATATCCATGGAGTGTCAGGGTGGGGTGGGGTCATGGATCTATCGGGTGGGGTAAAATAGAAAATAGAACAGTAGAGAAGAGGACTGGTGGAACCAGGCCTTTAGAAATTGTATATCATAATGTGGGATTTATTTATATCACACTACTGGTTTTTTTTTTTTTTTTCAGAACAACTTTTCAAATTCATAATTCAACCCTGGATCAACATTTTTTATTACGACCATTGAGCGTATACGGGGAGTGGACTGAGTGTGACGTCATCACAGTGTTATGCGGAAAAGCCTCCTTTGAACATGAGCCATGGATCTATAAGCTAGCTGGAGCCAATTTGACTATATGCTGCCGTCTGTCTGTATATTGAGTTTTATAGCAGAACTGATTCCAGTAAATCTCCTTCGCAAATTAAAACACTTCTGAGCTGAACACACCCAGCTCCCTCGGGTTCCCCTCTTACTTCTTTGTTCTTGATCCACGGGCCTCAAACCGATCTGTCCACAGTTTCGGGATCGTGTTTCTATTGTTTCAAAAGAACAGTTGCGTTAGTGCTGAATAAAAGAGCTTTAAATCTTCTACTCACGTCTGTGTCCTCGTCTGTTCGCTTCACATCAGTTTACGGCACTGCGGTTGCCAGGTTTCCAGAGACCGATAATAGCGTGATGCTGCCCCCTCGCGGTGGGAAATAATAACGCAGGTTTTATTTGTATTTTGTTTTTTTATGAGTCATCTCCTGTTCTTGTAAAACAATGTTTTTACTTTTGCTGATCTGGTAACTAAAAACAACTCATCTTATAATAGATTTACTCTATCTATGATGTAATTAATGGCACTGTTTTTACAGAGCCACAAATACATGTAGTGTTTATTTGGTTGGCACAGTGCACATTAATGAACCTACCTCTGGGTTGTACCTTGGGCACAGTCTCACAAACACACTCTTTCACCCTGAACTACAGCCTGGATGCAGCCTGGATGTACTACCCACTAGATTTCTATAGTCTGTTCTGAGCAGTCTGTTACCTTCACTCACACAGATAGTAAACATGTCCCTTCATTCTGGAATATTCCCAAAGGCCCTGAAAACTGCAGTCATCAGGCCCCTGCTAAAAAAGAGCAGTCTGGATGCTACGGTACTTAACAACTATCGTCCCATCTCAAATCTGCCATTTATGGGGAAAGTCCTTGAGAAAGTTGTCTACCTACAGCTTACTAGATTTATTATAATCAACAACTCATTTGACATGTTTCAGTCCGGCTTTAGACTGTGTCTCAGATCATATGGCCCTGACCTGTGGAGTACCACAGGGGTCATTCCTGGGACCTCTTCTTCAATCTCTACATGCTGCCGTTAGGTCAGTTAATACGCAGAAACAAAGTTTCCTATCACAACTATGCAGACGACACTCAGATCTATGTCTCACTGGCTGCAGGAGAACATGGACCAGTGGACTCACTCCTTCACTGTATCCAACAGATCAGTGAGTGGATGCAAAACAACTTCCTTCAGCTAAACGCAGACAAAACTGAAATGATTGTCTTTGGTCCCCAGAAACAAAGAGAGAGCGTCATCTGTCACCTACAGTCTCTCTCCCTAAAACCTTCAAACAAGGTCAGAAATCTAGGGTTAATACTGGACTCAGACTTAAATTTTAATAGCCACATCAAATCAGTAACATCAGCAGCTTTCTACCACCTAAAAAACATTGCCAGGATCAAAAACATAGTGTCTAAAGCAGACTTGGAGATTCTTATCCATGCATTTGTCTCCAGTAGGTTAGACTACTGCAATGGCCTGCTCACAGGTCTCTCCAAACAGGCTGTAAAACAGCTGCAGTACATTCAAAATGCAGCAGCTCGACTCCTGACTAGAACCAGGAAGTACGACCATATTAGTCCAGTTCTCAGGTCTCTGCACTGGCTTCCTGTGGCTCAGAGAATAGACTTTAAAACAGCTCTGCTTGTGTACAAGTCTCTCCATGGCCTCGCACCAAAATATATTAGTGACATGTTAGTCCCATATGAACCAGCCCGGACTCTGAGGAGCACAGGGACTGGACTCCTGTTAGTGCCCAGAGTCAGAACTAAACATGGGGAGGCTGCTTTTCAGATTCATGCTGCTAAAATCTGGAACAGTCTTCCTGAAGATGTGAGACAGGCCTCCTCTCTGACAATGTTTAAAACCAGGTTAAAAACAGTTCTGTTTAGCTGTGCATACAACTGAGGGATTTTATATTTTTATCTTTCTTTTTAATGTTCTGTGATTATTTATGATTTTAATGCTTTCTTATTTTGTTCAGCACTTTGAATTGCCTTGTGTATGAATTGTGCTATATAAATAAACTTGCCTTGCCTTGCCTTTCCTTACTACTGTACATGCGTTTAGTGGTAGAGGGAAACCGGAGCACCAGGAGGAAACCAATGCAGACACGAGGAGAATATGCAAACTCCACACAGAAAGGTCTGGAGGTGGAATCGAACCCAGGACCTTTTTGCAACCATGGTCTATATTGGTTGAAACATGTTTAAAACACACATGTTTGTCATGTTACAATCACAAAAATGAAACACAACTGTAAAGTGGTTTTTGCATTGGGGGTTGTACAGCAGAGAACAGTATGTGGAACCCAACTGAGCGCTATACCCTGTCCCTGCTGAAGAAAAACAGCCCCAAAACATAAAACTGCCACCTCCATATTTTACACTAGAGTCACCACTGAGAGCATTTTAGTATCCAGTGCATAGTACATAGGCATCGGCCTCAAGGACCAGGGGTGTGCAAACACGACAAACTCATGTAGTCTCAAGTTGCTAAAACAAAGTACCAATGTCAAAATATTAAATAAATAAACGTCACTATTTGCAAATATGAAATGCAATATATATTATTGATATATGTTTTTTTTTGGTTCAAAACTAAATAAGTTTTATTATTTTCTGTCTGCATTCATTTATTTCCTTGTTCATACAAAGGTTAAATAAATATATATTATTAATAAATACAGTTTTGTGCCCAAATAAATAATAAATCCTCTTTATTTTCTTCTTGAATGTGTTTATTTTCTTTTTTATTGATGTTCTGTTTTATTATTTCACGATGCATTATTCTTTCATCAAATTCAGGACCTATTATATTTACCCTGGTATCTCTCTCCCTTTGCTCTCCCTCTCACTGGTCTTTCTCTCTTCTCTGATAATCTCTGGTCTCTCTCCTTTATATTTCTCTATTTGTAAATTCATAGAATTATGTATTATTTGCTTTCACTTCAGTCTGTTACTTCTGTTTGAGATCTCAATCTTAAAAAATCTAATTAGAATCTTCATGGTTTTGGTGGTAAACACAGTGCATCCGGAAAGTATTCACAGCGCTTCACTTTTTCCACATTTTGTCATGTTACAGCCTTATTCAATTCATTTTTTTCCTCACAATTCTACACACAACACCCCATAATGACAGCATGAAAAAGTTGAGATTCTTGCAAATTTATGTGCATCCTGTTTCCACGGATCATCCTTGAGATGCTCCTACTGCTTCATTGGAGTCCAACTGTGGTAAATTCAGTTGATTTGACTTGATTTGGAAAGGCACAGACCTGTATATATAAAGTCCCACAGTTGACAGTGCATGTCAGAGCACAAACCAAGCATGAAGTCAAAGGAATTGTCTGTAGACCTCAAAGAGGATTGTCTCGAGGCACAAGTCTGGGGAAGGTTACAGAAACATTTCTGCTGCTTCGAAGGTCCCAATGAGCACAGTGGCCTCCATCATCCGAACCACCAGGACTCTTCCTAGAGCTGGCCGGCCATCTAAACTGAGCGATCGGGGGAGAAGGGCCTTAGTCAGGGAGGTGGCTAATAACCCAATGGTCACTTTGTCAGAACTCCAGCATTCCTCTGTGGAGAGAGGAGAACCTTCCAGAAGGACAACCATTTCTGCAGCAATCCACAAATCAGGCCTGTATGGCCAGATGGAAGCCGCTCCTTAGTTTGGAGTTTGCCAAAAGGCACCTGAAGGACCCTCAGACCATGAGTAAAAAGATTCTCTGGTCTGATGAGACAAAGATTGAACTCTGGTGGTGGCAGCATCATGGTTTGGGCCTGCTTTTCTTCAGCAGGGACAGGGAAGATGGCTAAAATTGATGGGAAGATGGATGGAGCCAAATACAGGACCATTCTGGAAGAAAAGCTGTTGGAGTCTGCAAAAGACCTGAGACTGGGACGGAGATTTATCTTCCAACAGGACAATGATCCAAAACATAAAGCCAAATTTACAATGGAATGGTTCACAAATAGACGTATCCAGGTGTTAGAATGGCCAAGTCAAAGTCCAGACCTGAATCCAATCGAGACTCTGTGGAAAGAGCTGAAGACTGCTGTTCACAAACGCTCTCCATCCAACCTCACTGAGCTCGAGCTATTTTGCAAGGAAGAATGGGAAAGAATTCCAGTCTCTCGATGTGCAAAACTGATAGAGACATACCCCAAGCGACTTGCAGCTGTAATTGCAGCAAAAGGTGGCGCTACAAAGTATTAGCGCAAGGGGGCCGAATAATATTGCATGCCACATATATATATATATATATATATATATATATATATATATATATATATATATATATATATATATATATAAAATTATGAATACATATATATTATGTTTTATCCAACTATTTTTACAGGATAAATAACCCCCCAAAAATTACCTCAAATTGTTATTGAATCTCAAAGAGGAGTCAGTTCAACACAAATTATAATTTAACTGTAAAATGAATTAAGAAATTACATATTTTGCCTTCTCTTTATTTAAAAATAAAACGAATCAACTCAAGGCAGTGCATATAGGAACAGTGCAGTGTAGGGTTGCCACGATTTCAAAGTTTTGAGTCACACTTATTGTGAGAGAAATTGAGATTCTACAATTATTGACAGTATGAAATAAAATAAAATCAGATTTGTTTGAGTTTTTTTTTCTGGAAAACAATAAATGGATAAATTAAGATCATATGTCCTCTGAGATGACTACTGTTGTGATTTAGGGCTATACAAGAATAATGTGAATATCCATATATTTTATTGCATGCATTACATAAAAATACATATAAAAAGCTGAACCTTATGTTCTATATAGTATAAATTATGTATACAAATTTCCAAATAAAAAAATAAATTCAGGAATATATATAGCCTAATTGTTTTGTAGTAGTCAGAGTAGTAGTAATAACCATCATCACAGTTGGAGTCTAGATGTCTGCATTTGTTTTGTTGTTTTGTTGACTAAGGATACGTGCTACTGTCCCTTTAAGACAAAAAACAAAACTTATCAATAAAAAATGGCCGGTAGAATGTTTTGAAATTACATTCGAATCAATGCTGCTACTGTGAGGAGCTGTACAATACTGTAATTTATGATTAAATATTAAAATAAATTTCAATATCTAAATTAATAAACAAACAAACTTCGAATATGATTTTTGTGCAATTTAGTCAAAGCCCTAGTGCATATAGGAACACAGTGCTTCTGCAACATTTTAGATAAAAAAAATCCCTGATTACATTAATAGTAAGCAACCTTAATTCAGCGACAAGCGGCTCTCTCAGTGGCGCACAGTAGCAGGAGTTCGTGTATCGCAAAGTAATGCCTCGACTCGGCTGTGTACAATGTTTAGTCTCTGGTATAAAGCCATGTTGTTCAATGATGACAAAAAGGTGCCATATCCACCGCTGTATGAAATGCAACGGACGCTACACCACCTGCGCCTGTCATATTCTATACTCCGTGTTTTTTACCAAGTTCGAAGCCTCTGAGCATTTTTACAGTCTCTGCTGCTAACTGAGAAGCGCAGCTGTGTATGAGACACACAATACAACGTCCACTGCTAGAAGCAACTGATTTTAAAGTGGACATATCGCGTTTTCAAATAATTGATTTTTACATCTAAATCATTAATTTGTGGCCTATATAAAGCGTAACTGCAATGCCTGGGTCTGAGTCTCATTATTTGTAGCTCCACGGGCCTTTCTTCTACACCTGTTCTGAGGTGCGTCTGAGAGGAACCTGTTTTGGTGCTGTCTCTTTAAATGCAAATGAGGCGCTTTTGACCCCCCCCCCCCCCCATCCAAGTGACACAGGTTCAACTCCACCCCGAGCGGCCATTTTTGTAGTTTCTAAGCACAGATACAATTATCTCATAGAAACTTCTCATTATATACGCAGTCCTTCCTCATTGACTGAAAGCAAATGTTAATTTTCATTCTTAGTCCAGTCTTATTATCGACTCTTCTCTTTTTAGCTTTGGGATCCATGCGCACAGTCTA